CCTTGTAGTGAGAGTTTTGCATGAAATAAAGAAACAACGGGGCGCACGGTCATAGGGATGCTGTGCATTCGGAAAAAAAAGACATGGAGAGAAATATATCCCCTGAGTGATTCTCCGAATCGTTGGTTTATCCGCATTTTTGGTCCACTTAGAATAAAAGTAAAATCATAAGGAAACAATTTATTTGAAAAAGTCGGATTTGACTTTTGTGTAACAACAACAAAAAAAAAGCGTAATAGTCCCAAGTAGGTCTCTGAGCAGCCAGGATGTGGTTGGAAATTTACCTGAGACTCGGACCCTGGCTTTTCTGTTTAATCGCTCTCGGTCCCATCTTTCTGGGCTACTGTGCGTACTTTTCCCCATTCCTGGCATTTTCAACTTTCTATTGTCAAACAAAACTTCGTTTTTCACGTGCTTGGCGAGCAGAGCCACGTACCTTTAAGTTGCTTGTGTGAATTCTAAGTACTCCATACTAGTGAGACTTGTTCTTAAAACGAGTTCGGCCTGATCTCGCGAGCCGTGCAAAGCCTCGTTCAGATTCTCGTCCACACAGCGGAATCTCCCATCTTCAGCGATTCTGCTTGGTATGAGTTACGTGCTGCTGTGTAACAAGTGAGCCCGAAGCTTAGCAGCTCGAAGCAACGTGCCTCTGTTATGTCGCAGTCTCTGTGATCAAGGCACCTGCCAGGTTGGTGGTCTCATTCGACAGGTGGACAGAGGACAAGATGCGCCTCGAAGCTCGTTCCCGTGGTGGCGGGCAGGATTCAGTCGCTTTTAGGCTGCGGGCCTGAGAGCCTCGTGTCTTTGCTGGCTCCTGGCTGGAGGTCTCCCTCAGTTCCTCGTCCTGGGGTCTCTCCAACACAGCCACTCACTTCGACAACAGCTGGCAATGGGCGGAGTCCACCAGCAAGACGGAGTCATGCTCTCGTGCGACCTGATCTCAGAAGTGATGTCTCCTCACACTTCCATATTCTGTTCCTTAGAACCATGGCTCAAGGTCCAGCTACGCCCGGGGCGCCGGCGGGGAGGGGCGGACCATCCGAGACGTGACTACAAGGTGGTGTAGCGTTGGGCCATCTTCTGGTTGGCCGCCCACATCTTTGTTGAAAACTCTATGACTACACATAATCTACACGGAATTATCGTAATACTGCTGCTGATGACTACAACTAATGACCGTTGGCCCATAACTATTATTTCCTTATTGAGTCATAGTACCAAGTATCCAATTTTATCCTCACGATAATATTTATATGGTATCATTATGGTTACCCTCATTTTCTAGGAGAAAATGCCGACCAAGGAGCTACATGAATAGTCTGTGGTTTCACTGCTAATGAGCAGGGGTGCCCCGACTGAACCATCATCTGCAGAAGCCGTGTTTCTCACTCCATCGCTCATTCTAGTGGGTTCTGTACTTGTGGGTTGTCCCCTTGGCCACTTGGATCCTTGCAGGGTGACTCTGTGTCTCATTCAACCTTGAAACCACCAAATGGTCACGATGTCTTCGATCCTGTTTCTGTCTCGTAAGCGCTTGTTGCATTGAAATGGATTCGGTTTGAACCGCCAGTGAATTGGTTTTAGTTGCAAAGGTATGAAGAAATTTAAACACTCCTAACGAGTTAAATTTCTCTAGCGCTTTTATCATTTTGGAAACCTTTTATTTCTTTTTCTTGTTCTTTGGGGGCAGACAGGGAAATGTGTTTTCTCCCCCACCTTTTCCAAGGCATGGTTGACACATGCTATTGTGTACATGTTTCCGGAGAAAATATGATGTGTGATTACAAATACATTGTGAAAGGGTCGCTACCGTTAAGTCACACATTTGTCACCTCACGTACTTGCCATCCTTTTTGTGTTTGTGACGTGACCACTTAAGATCCACTGTTCAAACAAGTTTCAAGTATACGGTACAGTTTTACGAACTACGGTCACCGTGCTGCGCATCAGATCCACAGGATTTATTCATCTTAGAACTCGAAGTTTATACCCTTTATCCGACATCTTCCAATTTCCCCACCCCACGGTCCCTGGCAGCCCACATACTGCTCTCTGCTTCTGTGAGTTCAGTTTTTCGTTCGTTTGTTGAGGTTTGGTTTTGTTTTCGATTCCATCCATGAGTGAGATCAGACGGCATTTCTCTTGGTCTGTCGGCCTTATTTCCCTCAGCATAATTCTCTGCAGCTTTAGACGTGTTCTTTCCTTCCTTTTCAAGGCTGCATAATATTCCATTGCATCTAGACCACATCTTCTCTATCCGTTCATCCGCCTATCGATGCTCAGATGGACTCTGTATCTTGGCTATCGTGTGATGCCGCAGTGAACGCGGGGCTGCAGGTATCTCTCTGAGATCTGGACTCCCATCATATTTGTTGGCCGCCCCATGGCAAAGATGGCATCTTGGTGAACGTGCGGGGGAGTGAGGCACGGCGGGCTCATGCTTTGAGCCGAACCCCTCGTACTTGGTGTCCCGCCCTGCGACCGGACCCTGACGCCTCATTCTGCACTCATTCCTCTACTCCCAGAAAAACAGAGTGTGAAAGCCACCGAAGGGAGAAAGAAGGAGGGAATGAAGGACGAGAGAGCGAAGTAAGTTGTGACGTTTTCCTGCTTGGTTACCGCTGGAGGAGGGGGTCGTGGGCAGCCGAGTTGGCTTTTAGGAAGAGGGAGAGTCTTGAAAGGCAGAGAGGAGGAGTAAGACCAGGTCGACAGAGACAGGGGCGTCGCTGCAGGTCCTTGTATCTGGGTTCAGAAGGCGATGGGCGAGGGGGCTGTCTGCAGCGGAGGTCTGCTGACGGGGAGGCGGGGTGGGAAGGAGGTGCCATGTGGACCGGTGACAGGTGGCAGCAGGAACAGAGACAAGACGGCATGCTGGAGCCTAACGTTCTGTTTGGAGAGCCTGTTTCGGGTCGCCGTGTGTGTGCGCCCGAGCATGTCACGGCTTGTGCAACCGGCGGGGCGAGGTCCAGGTGAGGAGCGTGGTCTGTGAGGGTTTAAGTTGGACTTGTGGGTGCACGGGACAAAGCCGTGCTTGCCCGGAGGCAGCGTGCTTTCCGAGTCCTTCCACAGAAGCCAGGCTGCCCACACTTGTGAGCGAAGGAAGTGAGCTGTGATTGTGTCGTGCACAGGAGGCGACGATTTCACAGATGCTCAGACGGATGACAGGCAGGTACTAGGTAGGCCATTCTCAGCCGGGGGTGATTTTGCCTCCGAGGGGACATTTGACAATATGTGCGGACATATTTGGTTTCACAGCTTGGCCTGGGACAGGGTGCGACAGAACACTCTCCAGGGACCAGCGCAGCCCCCACGACAAAGCGTTAGCCCGTTAGCCGAGCCTGAATGTCAGTCTTGATGAGGCTGAGAAACTCACACCTTGAGGGCAAATGTCACTCGTCACAGTCTGCCACGTTCCCGCCTTCTTCGCGTAGGTGGCCTGACAGAGAGGCAGGGAGAGGCCCGAGAGTGCCTGCCACGCGGGAAACCGCGGTTGTAAAGTACGGGATTTTATTGATTTATCTTCCGTATTAATGACACGTGAGCGTGCTGCGGAGGCGGAGCGATCTGGCTCCCGCCTTCTCCGGGGGAAGGTCATGCATTGTATTTCGGGGGGACAGGAGGCCGCTAGGCACACTC